GATAATTAATAAAAAAATAAAGATATTTAGCAATAATAAAACTTTAGAATATATTAATAAAAATTTTTTTAAAAAAAATATAAGAAATAGAATAAGTATTAAGATATAATATACTGTATATAAATTTTATAATTTTTGACTGTATAGTTAATGGTTTAAAAATTGTTAAAGTTGAAATTTATAATAAAAATATAGTAAATGGACTCAAACTTTTGAAAGAAACCATAATTTAGATAAAATTTAAAAAGTAAAATTAATTGAAATAAGTTTTAAAAGAGTTAAGTTAAATATATAAAAAATAAATAAATAATTTAATTAGGTAATTTTATAATTTATATAATAAGTATTGTAAAATTTATTAAAATTATTAATTTATTGTATAATTTCTTATTGATTTTATTGTTATAATATATACATTTTTTATAAATTTTTATTGAATTTATTGTTATAATATATAAATTTTCATAATTTTTTATTAAATTTATTGTTATAGTATATAAATTTTTTTGTTAAATTTGTTATATAATACTGTATATAAATTTTTGTCAAATTTATTTTTACAATATAAAAATATTTTATTAATATTTTATATGTTAAGTAATATTGATCAAAAAATTTTCGTTAATATTTTTTTAATAAATTTAATCAAATTCAGTAATAATTTTTTAAGTTTATAATTATCTTGTTATAAAATTGATATTTTCAATTGATTATCATTATCTTTTGATTTTAACTCAATTAGAACCTTATAAAAAACGAAATACTAAAAATTAAAGTATAGGTTTTAGGCTAGCTATAGTTAAAATATAAATAAATATTACACAAGTTTAATAATTTTATCTGATTGTTATTTTTTATTGCTACCACTGGAAATGTCTTTTTCTGCTTGTTACAACAATCTTATCAGGATTAGTTATTATAATTAACATTATTATTTTCTTTTTATTTAACCCTTTTTTCCTTTTTTTTTTTTTTTTTGCATTACTATGCAAAGTTCTTTCGGCAGAGTGTGATAAGTTCATGTGACGTGACACGCCTTGATCTAAAATCCGAGTTACGCTACTTTCCAAAAATATCGTGCCGATCTCTTAATTTTTATAAATTATCGTTATCGTCGTGCATTATGTTATGACAACTACACAAGAGAATTCTGACAAAAAAAAAAATGCGAAGAATGCCGCTCTTCTCGCTGCACCCGCCGCGATAGCAAGGTCATTCACATTGCAAGCTCTGGCCTTGTTTTATCGGACTCCGATAAAGGTAAAGCTTTGTATTGAAAAAGAATTTTACTTAGTTTAGTATTTTAAAATAACTTTTTTACTGATTCATCATTAGCTTTTCAGGCCTTTAAGGGTTGACTATTTAATAATGGCTAAGGCTATTATGCCACCTCCCTCAGAAAATAGCACGAGAAATCTTTTTTACAGAACCAGCATTGGCATGATATCTAATGCGGTTAAATATCACGGGGTAAGTTTATCTCTTTACCTCAACTTTTATTCTGCCATATGCTGTATGTAATTTTGATTGGTTTTTTTTCAGTTTTCTTTCATACCTCGTTACATTCTCCCACCTTTTGTGGCAAACTCAGTAGTCGGCGCTGTTCTATTTACATTTTATGTTTCTGTTCTTTCTAAAATCAATGGTACTTCGTCTTTTGACGCACCACCACCTCCATCTCCGTTTCCAGCTGCATTCTTTTCCGGGGCTATAGCAGGCGCAGCCCAATCGTTAGTAGCTGCGCCATTAGACTCGCTGAAGGTCAGATTTGAGGTTAACGATCTGTTGGATGGAAAACATAGAAGTATGTACGACTACGCCAAGAAGACGCTGAAGGAACTAGGTTTCGCGAGTATCTATCGAGGAATCGGCCTGACGTTAATAAAGGTTGGCGAATTTATGATAATCATCATTATTTTTCATATTAAAATTATATACGATTAAAAATATGAATAGGATTCATTGTCCTGTGGTCTATTCTTTGGGGTGTTTGAATTTGCCAAGCAACAATTAACAGATCAGCGGCATTCACAAAAAAATTCGTACGTTGTTAATCCTGTTTTTGTACTTGCTGCCGGAGGTTTAGCTGCGGTATCATATCATATAATTGATTATCCGCTTGACAAGATTCGGAATGTATTTTTAATTGAGGAGGCACAGTCCGAATACCAACATGAGAAGAAACCAAGGTTATATAGAATCACATGGGAACAATGCAAAATGAGAGCTCGACGAACCGGATGGTTTAAGTTCTTGTATGGTAATTTCGGAGCAGCTGTCTTGAGAGCTGTTCCTGCAACAAGCATAGGATTTCTAGTATTTGAACTGATGAAGAGGAAAACCGACTACTGCATCTAATCATCAATTCACCTTATCATTATAATAAAGTTTCATTCTTTAAAGGTTAAAAAGAGAATTCAGACATTTGCAATCAAATTCCGGTGTATATATACATAAGCACCGTAATTGATACATTTTTATTTTGATAATTGAATTTTTCTTTTAAAGGCTCACTCTCAAATTATATAAACAAAAAAAAAAAGTTACAAACAGAAAAGTAATACGATCTTAATCCTTCGAACACAAAGCCGCGCAAAACAGGAATAGAAAATAAAATACTAATTAAATGATTCGAATGATAGACCGAAAAGTATATAAATAAAATAAATTATAAAATATGAGAAGAATGATATAGAATGCTACAGAAATTACAAGAATCAATTTTAATGAATAAAATGGGCAAGGTATAATATATGTTTAAAAAAAAAAAAAAGCTTTTTTTTTTTTTTTTTTTTTTTCTTTTTACTAAAGTCTACGCAAGGATATATAGAAACAAAATGTGCATAAAAAATATGTGCAAAAAAAGAAAAACGGTAACAAGTATTTACAAAATATGGGAGTGAGAGTATAGTAAAACAAGCATTATTAATAGGACCCAAAGCAATGAGGAATCCCGTTAGACGCAACCAACAATCTTACTACCAGGTTTTAAACCAGCACTTCCTACAGATAGTGCCCGGCGTCTACCGCCTTCGGAGATGCGTAATAAAATGGCGGCCTTAGAAACCTTTGACAAAGGAGGTTGAGTTAGATCATCAAAAGAATTTCTATTAACTTGCATATCGGCGACTGCGTCAGCCAACTTGCGTTGAATGTTAGTAGCTTGATGAAGCGCAGGTCGTGATGGATATGGTTGGGACTGATGGTGATGGCGTTTATTTGGAGAGAAATGCGAATCCATCGGCAATGGATTATGGGCACGGGTAATTGGTGAGGAACCAAAGATCAAATGAGAGTTGTCAATTGCAAGTTTCATCGGACGTGATGTCGGACGCTGTCTAGTTTGTTCAATATCAATAGCTCCCGCATAAGATTGCTCATTTTCACCAAAGAATTCGTCGTCATCCTGACTAATTTCCGTTACAGGAGAGGATTGTGCACGATGCGCATGGTCAGGAGAAGTGGATTGTGAAACTGAACGACTAGAACCACGGCTCGAATTACCCATGATTTCCTTGAGTTCAGCGCACGCAAGTGCCTCGTCAGACCTAGTACATTCAAATAATTATTCGTTATCAATAAATTTAATCAGTGATAACATGAATTATTGATAAACATCGTTTTTTATATCATAAATGAACTAAAGAAATGAAAACACGAACATGGTCTCAGGTGAGTCAACGGTAGTATCAAACGATGCGGGATCATCCTCAATGTCCTCTTGCACAGCAGACAGCCCCCAAGGATTCTCGGGAAGTGGGGTGACCGACATAAAGTTGTCAAACAGGTTTCCGGGATAAGCATACAAGGCCTTCTTAGGACAAGGAGCAACGATGCAAGGCAGATTGTACACTTGATCGTTATGTTTTGAAGGTGGTGAGGTTGCCGAATACGCTTGAGGAAATGCCTCAGTGCTTGATTTTTCGGGCAAAGTGGGAGAAGACCGCGGATGGATGTTGTTTAAACTTTCTGTACAAGTGCGGTCGTATGGACGAATAGAGGGGGTTTGAGTATAAAATAAAGTCATGGTGCTTTCGTCAGTAAGGTCTTTGAAAGGTCTATTTAAAAAATATAAACAAGATTTGCAAAGAGAGTTGTGTATTTATTTATAATGAAATTATGAATGTGTTTTTTTCGTTTTGTTCAGAGTCCAATATTAATGACAGTAAGAATATATAGATACAAGAGAGAAAAGGGGAATGTATATTTATGGGTGGGAAAATATGTATAGTGAAAAAAAAAAAAAAAAAAAAATAGTAAGTCTATCAGTGTAATTATATATAAATTACAAAAGTTTGTTTCGCAGACCAGTTGACAAAAGGAGACAATGAAATATTAATATTGTTATTTGGTAAAAGGAGAAAAAATTCGTCCAAGCGACTTATCGTATCGAAATCTCGCAAAGGGTAAGAGGATGAAAAAGGGGATGAAAAGAAATCAGTGAGACGGAGGAATGCAGGGAGAATAAAAAGGCGTATGAAGACAAGGCCGATTATTAAATATAGAAATCGACACGAGTCTCTCATTGGTAATATTTTCAAAGGTGTGATTGGCTTAAGCTGTGAAACAATAAAAAATTTTTTTGCTGACGTGCTACGCACCTACGTTCTTTTTCTTTCACGAATGTGCGCGGTATTACTTTTATCATTTCCTATAAATGTATACAAATACTACATATTTATGTTTCTTTGTGGCTTGCGCAAAAAAAAAAAAAAAAAGAATCTTCTATTCACGTGACATTAACCGCAGAAAGTTAATACAATAAGACAATTCTCGCTATGAATTTTTTGATAAAAAAAAATTACATAATTGTTTACGTTTCAGATATCAGAGTTATCGCATGTTCTTCATCTGACAAATCAAATATGCATGCCACGTGATGTTTATAACAAGTTTTCAATCCGCCGGTTAACTTTTCATCTATATTTCGGACTAATTAATTACTTATTTAGTCTGATTATTATTTTTAATTTGAAAATCAAACAATTATTCAATTGTTTTTTTTTTTTTATATGACGCATTGTAGTAAAAGGCAATCTTATGATTTTCAAAAAAAATTTTTTTTTGATTTTTTTTTTCATTAAAATATAAAAAAATATTATATATAATGAATTATTTATATTTTAAAAATTAAATAAAAATATAATAATAATAATTAACTTATTATTATATAATTGCTTTCAAAAGTTTGAGTTCACTTACTAGGTTTTCATTATAAATTTTAACTGTTAGTAATTTTTAAAGTCTTAATTATATAATCAAAAATTATAAAATTTATATATAATATATCTTAATACTAGTTTTATTTTTTATATTAGTTTTATTATTATTAAAAATTTTTTTTCTTTATCAAATTGTTGTTTTTGATAAATTATATAATAATTAATAAAAAAATAAAAATTTTAATAATAATAAGATTTTGAAAATTATTTATTATATAAAAATTTTTTAAAAAAAAATATAATTACTAGTTAAAAATTATGTTATTTGACTATTAAATTATTGCTGAACTTGAAAAATATAATAATAAAAAGATTAATAATAAATCTTTTACAATTGTTGTCACTTGGCATAAAAAATATTAGCATAAATCAACAAAAAAATTTCAATGTACTGTAATAAAAAAATTTGATATAAAATTTAGTAACATTATGACAAAAAAATTTTTTTGTATACTATGATAAAAAATTTAGTAAAAAAATTAATATTGTAGTAAAAAAATTCAGTAAAAAAATTAATGTGATAAAAAAATTGATATTACAACAAAAAATTTAACAAAAAATTTATTATGAAAAAAAAATTCTACAAAAAAATTACTATAATAAAAAATTCTGCAAAAGTTACAAATCCAGTATTAAAATTCAATAAATATTCCAAAAAGTTAACAAATTAAAAAATTACAAAATTAATTGACTAAATTATTTGTTGCTTTCCTTTTCTTCCTCTTCCTTTTCTTTCACATA